TCTTTCCCCCACACAATACACATGTTCCTTTTGTCTGAAACCAAGTATGAGGACAATGAAGGAAGCAAAAACAGCAGTTTTGACAATGAAGCCAAAGACTAGAGAGAGAAGTTTGCTGTACTGACACTGCCTGTGATACAATTTCACAGCATGACCACAGAGTATGAGGGTCCTAAATACTTCAAGTCAGAGAAGACAGGACAAAAGCAGTTAAGGGAAGGTTGGAGAGATACCTGTCAACCTATCATGTGCCTACAAGCTGGTGACCATGAAGTTCGAGGCCTGGGGGTCAGACCAGAGTGGAGCAGTTTGTACAGAAGGTGGCACAAGACATCATGCTTTTCATGGGTTGAGAAGTGGTCTATGACAATGGATGATATAAGAGTACACATAAGAACCACCCAGCGTTAAATTTTGCATTCAGCATTCTTCCAGTGTAGATGAGAGCCATGCCAAAACAAGAAACATGACAATGGACAAGGTTCAAGAATCTGAACAAGCCACTCAGGAAGCCACCAACAAAAGAACTAGCAGTTTCCCACCTATGGTTTCCTGTGCATTCCCTGTTGCTGCTTCAGCCTCAGTGCCCCATCTGGTGCTCCATCCACTCTTCTCTCCACAGACACACTGGAAATCTTAGTTCCCAGTGATTGACTCTGAAATAAGTCTGTCACAAAAACTCAGCATTTCCAAGTCCTGAGGAAAAAGCCACCTTGGGGACTGGATAGTAACAGTAGTAACACGACCCTCTGCGAAATTGGCCCACACAGGAAGGTTCCAGATTTGAGTCCAGAGACCTCCCTGAGCATGCTGGGTATTGATGTGTCTGTGAGCCCAGGTTCACTGGGGGTAGATGGTGGTGTCAGGAATTCAATGGGGGTATACTGTCTTTACGTTTCACTTGGTTATGGAATAAATTTTTGTGTGCGTGTGTGGAGAAGTTTTTGCTATAGGGTGTATGTACTCGCCAGAGAGACAGAAAGCAAGAAATCACCCCCCAGGGGGGATGGGCACGCATGCACATGTGCCTGGTGTGAGTTTAAGCCAACCCAGTCTGGGACTCGAATCGCAGTCAGCTACACAGGAGTCCAATGACATAGCCGTTATGCCAACTGCTGGTCCCAAGGAATACATTTATTTTAAAAAGCCACCTAAATTCACCTGGCTTGAAGTCTTCCAATAAGCCATGTCAGCCCAAATGAAAATAACTTCAGATGGGTATCTCATGGGCTTCCCCCGCCCCCCCATCATTTTGGACTTGTTTTGTTTTTTAAAGAATTGTCTTTAGTAAAAAACTGTTTTGTCACTCAAACGTAAGATTCTCTAAGTGTGCCACACAGCATCATATCTAAGATACAAGACTTGCAGAGGACAGAGAATCTTCAGGACAGCTGTAAGCCAGGGTGGAAGCCTCATTAATGAGCATTTGATGAGATTGGCATAAACTTCAAAAATAAACACATGAAAACTGTCACTTTGTTACAGATGTGGTAAATAGTGAAGTCAGTTTCCTCCCATCCAACTTGAAAGTCTCAAAAAATACTCTTAGGCATAACATACCTGTTAGATTTTGAACTGTGGAATACCTACATTCTTTAAATACCAGTAGTTACTAAGATTCCTGTTCTGTTAGTCTGAGGATTTGGGACCCAATAGATGAAATTTTGAAAATTCTATTTTTTTCCATTTTTATTATTTTTTTTAGAGAGATTTTTGCTTTGGGGGGCGGGGGGTACATGTGCTCGCTGGACAGAGGCAGAAAGCGAGAAATCATCTCCCATACGGGATGACCATGCTGCAATCCCTTCTCCATTCTCCTCTCAGGATCTTGGGCACACACACACATGCCTAGTGTGAGTTTTTTAAGTCACCAGGTCTAGGACTCAAAAGACAATCAAATACATGGGAGTCCATCGACATAATCATTACACCATCTGCTGGTCCCAAATTTTGAAAATTCTAATTATCCTATAGAGACTCCAAGTACAATTACTTATTTATACTTTTCATAGAATTAAAGATCCCACTTGTTTCTATCTTTGAAAAAAAGGGGACATCAGTTCCACAGCACAGTAGTAATATACTGCTCAGTGAAAGCAGGACCCCCACATGGTGACACAGTACAAGTCCCTGGCCTGCTTGACCTGAAACATGAATACCCCATTTCTGCTGAGCTGGAGGACTGAAGGGGATCACAGAGTGACCACACCCTGTGGAGGGTGTTACTCTCTCTTTCACGTGCATGCACATGCACATTCTACCATGAGTAAAGGAAAACAATTTTAAATAATAAGCTGTGAGAAAGTACTGTGGGTGGGCCCATGCTAAGACTGCACTCCACAGGCTGGGACCATATGGAGGCCTACCTAGTGGCCAGATGCAGTGGTGTATACCTTTAATCCCAGCAGCTTTGGAGGCTAAAGCAGAAGGATCGTGGGCTCGAGGCTGACCAGGGCATAGCAAGACCTTGTCTAAAAAACATAATGGTGGAGCCAGCAGGTGGTGTGGTGGCTCTTTAAAGGGGAATGCAGTTCAAATCCCAGACCTGGCAGTTAGAAGATCATGCCAGGTGCATGTGTATGTGCCAAAGTCCCAGGAGAAGGGTAAGAGGAGCAGGGATTGCGGTGTGGCTGTCCCAGGGTTGATCTCTCACTTTCCTTCTCACTATATTTCTCTCCTCCAGCAAGCTAACGCCCCTATGGCAAAAACAGAAACCCAGTGGCATGTACCTGTGGTCTCAGCAGGAGGCCAAGGCTGAATGTGATACAGCGGTCCTGAGTACCATGGATACAATCAGGGTACTGTGGATATTTTATCTCCTAAAACATCTTAGTAGAGAGCTGACTGTATTAAGTCAACTCATAAAAAGCTTGGATGGAAATCTCAGAACCCTGTTGCAAAAGGAAGCAGATCCTCTCCCCTTCATGTCTGCCCTCTCTTGCAAGCCCTGGGCCATGGCTACACCACCTTCTCCCTCACCCTATCACCCCTTCGCCTCATCTCTAGTGTACCATTCCCCTGTAGCCGCTGGCCTCTGACTTGCTGGCACTTGTTCTTTAGTTATGGGCGTTTAAGGGGATCTTCAGAAAGTTCATGGAAAATGTGTATTAGGAAAATGCTCTATGGATTTCCAAATAGTTTTATGCCAGAATAGATTCACTTTAATTTCATTTATCCACGAACTTTTTGAAGTACTCTCATACATGTAGGACCAGCTCACACATGTGAAAACCTCTGTGTCTGGCTGGCCAGGTTTTCCTTTTTCAATTCCTACCCCTCTGCCTGTCTACAGATAGGAATCATTACTGCTAAGGCCCAGAGCTGCATTCCGGCTTCACTCTGGACTGTCACTCCTAGACACTGTGATCATGAAGTAACCTCCAGATGTGGGAGCCAGCAGACTGGGGAGTACAGAGGGCAGGGAAACCAGTGTGTACCACCCTGTAGAAGACTGCAGCTAGAGGAGAGAGAGGGATTGTCGTGGGGACCGATGGCACTCAGCGAGCCTCAGACGAGGCATTAACAGAATTCCCACAAATGACATTCAAGTTGAGTAAAGCTTTTACTAAAACAGTCTTGTTCTTTATCAATACCTGTAAATTCTCTTAAAGCAGTAGCAAAGGCGACTGTAGCAAGAGCTCAAAAGGCAAGGCAATATCAGAAAGTGTTCTTTAACATAAGGTTAAAAATATAAATGTAGAAGATCTGTTTATATATTTTTCTTTCAGAAATAAATTCCCCTCCCCCCACCAGGTGAAAGGAAATATTGCACTTTCTGCTCTCATGACTAAGGTGATGGGGTTCCAGAAGAACCTTTCAAGATTATCAGGAACATCAGGATGAGGGCCATTTCACCTACCGTGGACCAGGTGGAGACAGGTCCCCACCTGACCTCTCTCCAGACAGAAGCCTGAGTTCAGCCGGGGCCGAGTGTGAACGCGCACGCCAGCCGCCAGGACTCCAGCCTGCCTCACCGCACTCCTGCTCACAGTGGCCATGGCCTCGCTGGGAGAAGGGCCACCTGGAACCAGGGATGTCCAGTACTACACCTAAGACCCCTACTCTGGGGAAGCTACAGGCACACTGAGGAATAGTATGGCCACCCCCAGAGCTCACACGTCCACGAACAAATAAAGGCTTGAGGAGGAGACGGAAACCTAAAGTCTATATGAGTGTGCACTTCCACACTGAGCATGTCGGGACCAGGTGACGTCCTTTCCCAAGGCTTCGATTCCCCAAAGTTAATCCTTCCCAGGCGGGCTGCTGTGGGCTGGTGGCTTTTCAGGGGTTGTCCACAACCTGGTGGGGCAGTGTGATGGAGGAGCCATTGGGGAAGGCAGCAGGCTTATCTCGCCCCTTCAGGAAGAAGGTCAGCAGCTCCCCCTTCCCTTTCACAAAGATGGGGCCTCGCCTCACAAAGCGGAAGCCATACTCTCGGAGGATGGCTTGTGTCTCTTCCACAACCTGTGAAGGGAGACCAGAGAGACAGCTCAGGGTTAGAGCAAGGTGGGTGGAGTGGTGTTCAGGAAGTGCTAATACCACATCCCACTCCCAGCACCTCCAAGCAGCCAGGGCCACCACCATAAGCTAGGGGTGAGAACAAAACACCAGGTGACTTGCTGGGCCCTCGACGGCCTGAACGTTGTCTGTTTCTCTCTCCTTGGCAGCCACAGGTCGCCTGTGTGGCTGTGCTGCCATCTGAGGGCTTTTACTCCCTGCTTTCTGGCCCCTTGTTCTGTGGAGCTTTTCTGTCAGACCCCCTGCTAGAGATCAGGCTCGCTTCCAGGGGCAAGTGTTCTGACCCAGAACTCAAGCCTAAACTTTGCAGTGGGTCAAGGCATGTCCTCAGATGGAGGCTCACTGCTCAACCTCCCGCTCCTGACCCAAAGGCATGGCACCACTGCCCCAGTGCGCGAGGGTAGGAGGCAGGAGTACATGCAGAGCGTGCCCTTTCCAGTTCTGTCCCCGTCCCCTGCATGAGCACACACTCAGCTGTCTGCACTGGACGCACCTGAATGTTGCCCATGACCCCTGTAGACTCCATCCTGCTGGCGACGTTGACTGTGTTGCCCCAGATGTCATAGTGTGGTTTCCGGGCTCCAATGACACCAGCCAGGACCCCTCCTTTGTTCATGCCTTAGGTAGAGACAAAGTTCAATGCAACCACACGCCAAGCCCTATCATGCCCTTTCAGAAGCCACCACTGACTCTTTCAGAGAACTCGCCATCTTAACTCTCCACAAAGCTCTTAATAAATAATGCATCATAGTTCTCATCAAACACATCCCAAAGCTGTCAGAGGACAGGTTATCCCGTTTACTCAACCCCAAATGTTGAAAAGTATACTCATTAGCGGTCAGCTTCTCTAGCATACACCTGCTACTCAAATCTGACCTCACCTAGAGGGCTGAAACCCCCTCCTCAATGAGGGGTAGCAGATGACAAAGGGCTGGGTGTTCTGAGACCTCAGTGGACATAGAAACCCCCTTGGAAAGGTATTCACAGGCAAGCCAAGAGCGCTTACCTATGCGCAGCATGAAGTTGTTGAAGGACTGATTGTTGATGTTTGTGAGCGTATCCTTCATGGCTAGCGCGAAGTCGGCCAGGTCGGCCAGGTGCTGCCAGCGCTCCTTGTCTGACTTTTCCTCCTGTGCCACAAAGCAGTTGGGAAAGGTCAGGGGCCATCTAGGCATACACACTTGGCAGCCTGCTCAACTCCCTTCGCCTAGCTCACTGTTCTAGGATGCATCCCTACACCTGAGTCGTTCAAGGCCTCATTTACTGCCTCCCACAAAGGAGTCAGAACCCCTTTAGGCCCAACTTGTGACTGTGCCAAAGTTCACATGGGTCCCTCCAGCAGGCCTAGGGCTAGGACAGCAATGGTGGCCATAGGTAGGGAATAGTCAAGGCGGGCCCTACCCAGCTCCGTTATTCCTGTCTGCCATGTGTCTGATCGTGGGGCAGGTCCCTTCACGGCCTTCTCTGAGACAAGTCTAGCTCTGAACCAAATACAGCTGTCTTTGTTCTATTCTCAACTAGATTACAAACACTAGAGGATGAGGCTCCCCTAACTTCATAAAGTGGAGGCAACAACAGTACTGCCGTAATAGGACAGCTGTGAAGGTAAGACTGGGTGACAGTGTTGTCTGGGACCAAGACCCCCTTCCCCTCGACTCCAAGGCTGGACAGAGCAGGCTCCACAGGTCTAAATTAGCTTAACAGAGACAGACTGATACTACCCACTGAGTTTTCGAGGCTTCCTTTTCAAGTTCTCATTGTGGCATAACTGCATGGATGGCTCCTGCCCCCCAGTTCTCATGGAGAAGTACAGGGGCCGTGTGCACACACCGGCCTAGGCCTAAGCTGTGGGACAGCAGTGGAGTTTAAGTGTGTGCTGTTTCTCCACTCAGTAAGCTTTCTCAGTGAGCTGTTTCGTGTCCACACTGCGGGGTGCTGGTGTGTGGATCTAGGACCCCTCTGCACATCAGGACTTGTTCCCCACACGCAAGCCCTGCTGGGGCAGAGCTGCGTCTCTTGCCATCATGGTGGTCAGCTACCTTGCTGGAGCTGGTAAATCCGTTAGTGTTGACATCTGGGGTGACTCCTGAGGCTGCCATATAGGTGCTGCCAATGGTTTTGATCTTGGTGATGACCCGGAATTTGGGGTTATCCAGGAGCTGAGGCCAGGATTAAAGAGACAGAATTGTCAGCAGAGTTGAGGGAGGTTGAATGAGCCAAGTGAATGGCAGACTTGTCTGTTTTTACAAAACATCCGAGAGATGCTTTCCTATAGAAGCTCGATTTATTCCACCAATTATTTGCCACATGGTCCCGGGCAAACTTCCTAACTTTGAGTTGAGAAAGGGCCAGCAGGTGGTATAGTGGTTAAGGTGCTGGACTCTCTCATGCTGATCGCTGTTTGAATCCAGATTTGGCAGCTTGAAACTCATGCCAGGTGCGTGTGCGGATGCCTAAAATCCCAGGAAGAGAATAGAGGAAAAGGGATTGTGGTGTGGCCATCCCCTCTGGGGGATGATTTCTCTCCATCTCTCTTTGGCAAGTACACATGCCCTATAGCAAAACCTTGAAAGAAAAAGAAAAGACACTGAGAGAAAATTTGCCAGTCTCCCATGGTGATTGAGCGCACACACACACACACACACACACACACACATACACACACACACACACAAACACATACACACACACACAAACGCACACACACAAACACACACACACACACACAAACACACACACACACATACACACACACAAACACACACAAACACACACACACACAAATGCACACACACACATACACACACACAAACACACAGGTGACACGCTGTGTTTACGTCGCGCTGACTGGAACTGGCAGAACAAACACACACACACCCCACTGGAAGGCGCCTCCGGAGACGGGCAGCTCTGAGGGGCGACTGCGACGGCTTCCCTGGCAAAGAGGCTGCAGACATCTCTGCTGACACAGGCATCTACTCACGCAAAGCCGCCTGCACTGAGGTGCCCGCCGCGGGGGCCCGGGCCCTCT